TTTTTTGTGTTTGCCAAGCATCAACAACAATTTTGAGGCATTGGATTCTAAACACAATATGGATTGAATGGCAAACTATGGCATGCAAGGAGTGGATTGAGTATAATATCTCAAGGACAAGCAAAAAGATAGAGAATGAATTAGAATGGGATACTAATTTTGGTATTATTTCTTGGTTTTTATGGTTGAATCGTAACAAAACTTCATTTGATGAGGATATTCACTGGATTTCAACCAAGAAACCTATGCCCAAACATCTTTTAACAAAAGCTGCCATTTGTTTGAAAAAGAAGCAAAATCAGCCTAACAAATTCATCTCTTAAGTTGAGATCTTCCATCGCAAGGGTTTGTCAAGATTAATGTGGAAGGATTAGCAAAAGGTGCACCTGGTGCATGTACTGCAAGGAGATGTTGTCAAGATGAGACAGGATAGTGGATCTTTGGGTTCTCACAGCAATTAGATGAAGGTTTTGCAATTAGTGCAAAGTTATTTGTTATTTCGAAAGGAAATGGAGTTAGCCTGGGAGAAAGGATTTTTACAAGTCATTATAGAAGTAGATTCTTTGCTAGCGACTTAAAGATTGCATAATAATACTATTGAGGTCAATGCATTATCACATTTTGTCGACAAATGTAAAGCTTTCAAGAAAAGAGATTGGGTATGTGAAGTTAGGCACATAGTGTGTGAGCAAAATATTTGTACAAATATAATGGTATTAGGATTCTATCATCTAGGTAATGGTTTACATTTCTTTGAGAACCTATTTGATAAAGTTTGTGACTCCTTAAGGGAAGACAAAATTAGTATTTACAACTCTTATGTTATTAGATAATTTTCAATAATATATCATTACTCATTGTATAAAAAATTAATTCAACAAAACTATGCATAATTAAAAAACGCCAACCACCACTGTGGCCGATGGTTATAAGTCCCTTGAAAATGATGATAATATATATAAGTTTAAAACTTAAATTTTGAAACGCATTTTTTTTATTCTTAATTGTACGAATAAAAAAAAAAAGAGGCAAAATTGAAAAACAGCCGTGCTCATACAGATTACAGAGTACAAACACTAGACAGACCCCAACCCGCCGAAGGAGGGGAGCATTGAAGTACCATGTGGTAGAGTATGAATGGTACTGAGTCAGCAAATCTAGCCAGGAAACTCAATGGTCAATGTTATTACTCATTCAATGTGTCGACACATGCTGATATATAGCCCAAAACGTCGATTAGGTGCGCCAAAGATAGACACGTTGCAACAGACTGAAGCCAAATGCATGATATCCTAAAAACCGCCACAGTATACAGGCGGATGCACTCTGATCTAATGCATCCAACCCAATTACCCAACCCAGGCTCCCCGGTTCTTACCTTATCTGTCATATGTAAGGGTAGAGGGTTTGTCTAGGGACATTTTTTTATAATTAATTTATATAAAAAAATTATAAAATTTGGTGTTTATTTTAATATTGTTTATATATATAATTTTAATTAGTTAATTGATTAATTTAAAATTAATATTTATTTTTTTATACAAATTAATTATAAAAATATATTAATTATATTCCTAAAACATATGTTAAAAAAATCCAAGATTAAAAATTACAATTCATCCTTCACCATTCGAGTATGGTTTGGTTAACTCCTCAGCCTTTTATTTACCAAGTTCTACTACATAAAAATTTCAAAAGAAAAAATGATTATTTTTTATTCTTATATAACTTTTTATTAAATATATAAGAAAAAAATTCATATTCCTTGAGTTTTTTTAACTTGTGCCATGGGTTTTTTTGTCACAAATGCATATAAAAAGTATAAAAAAGTTGATATTAATTTTAATATTAGTACCAAATAGATGAATTTAATTAAA